CAGTTGGTGGAAGAACTAGTTGCTTTGTTCCAGAATTACAAAAAATAATAAGCAAAAGAGCTGCATCCGAAGCTCGGGATACTAAAGAATTGGACAGCAAAAAAAAACCAAAGAGAAGAAAAGTGTAGATTTACATTGTAGAGTACATACTGTATAATTAGAATTACATTCCTTCTTCTGATTCACTACCGGTAGTGTGGAAGGCTCCCAATATTTGTTGGAATTATGATTATCCCAATCGACTCGAAATTATTTCCGTAGCATTTTAGAAACCTCCACGCGATTGTTGATCTCATCTCATCATTCTCGTAGGGTTTGGCATGGCGCGTGAGGAGAGTAGGCCGCATTGTGCTCCTAGCCGCTCTAAAGTCCCATTCTACAGGAAAAAACCGCCTCTTTGGGAAATAAATACTCCGATTTATAATATCACATCGTTAGGAAATGGTTGCCGACTATTCGGCATTAAATCGAATTGTTGATTTATCTTGAAACCATATTTCGTTGAAGAACGTCTGTGATCATATATGTTAATTTCCAACAATTTTTTTTCAGTTTTGAACCCTCGATACATTTCACCTACATATTTACCTCTTGATGATCTTTCGATACACTTTCAGCACAATTCGTTCCAGCAACACATAGTGTGTCACCCCATCAATTGTATGCTTTGCTGCAAAAGTTTTTCCGTCGTGTAGATAATCGGAAAAATCCTGATCTCCGCTAACGATTCCGACATCACCCGTTTGCAACTAGACGCCTAAGCCAACATTTTGAAAGGTGTTCGAATGAGCAACTGTGGATTCCTCACCCGACCCTATACTCCTGAAGAATATGGGCAGACATATCCTTGTAACTCACACCATATTTAACTGTTGTAAATCTTTATGCTTATTTGTGTTCCCAATTAGTCATAAGCGCTTATCATTTTTGTACGATTCTGAGGCTTCTGTCAAAAAATTTAGTCCCCTCGTTCTTTAAGGAAAATCACGGAATACTGAGGGGTGCAAAAAAAAAAACCTCGTTTCGATTTCCGGTTTAACATCACGTGCAGATAAACAGAGACAGCGCCATAAAATTAATACTGCAAATTATAGTAAATTCTCTTGCATGTATAACCTTAATAATGAAACCTTATCTAGTGTAAAGTCAGCTTAATGTATCTACGAGGGCTAATTCAAGATGTCAAGACAGGGCCAAATGTAACTTTCAAGTATATTTGTTATAAAGAATATAAAGACTGATAGAATAGAATATTGGCTTTGCCGCTGGTGCGATAAAAAGGTTGTCGGAAATTCTCGTTTCTTAAGGTGATACCAGAATTTACGGACCTAAACCGGTTTTTGCTCCACCTGGTTGGACTAAAAATTAATATAAAGTAGCAAGATCCAGAAAATTCTTAAAATTGTAGTGCAGATATTGTCGAGGATTACATTCGTCGTAGATTTATGTACTAAATTGGAAAGCAAAAATAATAAGAAGATAAAATGATGCTTAAATCAAATAATATCAATACTAGACTAGCCAAAAGTACAAGAATTGGAAAAATCCAAATTCGAAGTAACAGTAACGGCGTGAACAATTCCAATTCGTCGATCCATACACATACTATTAAAACACCGGTTGGGATCAAGGCAGCAATTGCGTCATTAAAACCTAAGACCACCAGATTATCGATTGAGGGTCCAATAGAATGTGATTTGCAAGGTTTTGCGCTCTTGAATGCTCCAGGGTTCAATAAAGGTTCGGCGTTTAGCAAAGAAGAAAGACAAGCATTTGGATTGGAAGGATTGTTACCTTCGAGAATAAATTCGTTAGACGAGCAAGTGGAAAGAGCTTACAGACAGTTTTCGTACTTGAAAACTCCTCTAGCAAAAAACGATTTCTGTACCTCTATGAGGATTCAGAATAAGGTCTTATACTTTGAATTGGTAAGACGCCACATTAGGGAAATGATCCCTATTATCTACACACCAACTGAAGGTGATGCCATTGCTGCTTATTCCCATAGATTCAGGAAGCCAGAAGGTTGCTTTTTAGATATCACTGAGCCGGATATGATTGATAAGAGATTGTCAGCTTTCGGAGAAGACAAAGATATCGATTATATAGTTGTTTCTGATGGTGAAGGTATTTTAGGTATTGGTGACCAAGGTGTTGGAGGTGTTAGAATTGCAATCGCCAAGTTGGGATTGATGACCTTGTGTGGTGGTATCCACCCAGGAAGAGTATTACCAATCGTTCTTGATGTGGGTACTAATAACCAAGAGTTGCTCCATGACGAATTATACATGGGCAACAAATTTCCAAGAGTTCGTGGTAAAGAATACTGGGATTTCATAGATAAATTCATCCATGCTGTTAAGAAGAGATTTCCAAACGCCGTTTTGCATTATGAAGATTTTGGTGTCTCAACTGGCAGAAAAATGTTGCATAAATATAGAGAAACATTACCATCTTTCAATGATGATATTCAAGGTACTGGTGCAGTAGTTATGGCTTCCATGACTGCGGCTTTACAATTTTCAGATAGAAATTTATTGGATTCAAAGGTTTTAATTTATGGTGCAGGTTCGGCTGGGTTAGGAATTGCTGACCAAATAGTAAATCATATGGTTAGTCATGGTGCTACAGTTGAAGAAGCAAGGGCATCAATTCATTGCATGGATCGTCGTGGTTTACTTTTAAAGTCATTCGATGAAATGTCTGAAGGACAAGCCAAATATGCTGATCCAGATAGCGAATGGGAAAAAGTAGACACAAGGAACTTGGTTGAAGTTATAAGACATGTTAAACCTACTGTTTTAGTTGGATGCTCAACCCAAGCTGGCGCATTTACCGAAGAAGTTATTAAAGAAATGTATAGCCACAACAAACAGCCAATTGTTTTCCCATTATCAAACCCAACAAGATTACACGAAGCATTCCCTGTTGATATTATGAAGTGGACAGATAACAAGGCTTTAATTGCTACTGGATCTCCATTTGAACCAGTCAACGGGTTTGCTATTTCTGAAAACAATAACTGTTTTACTTTCCCAGGTATTGGGTTGGGTGCTGTATTGTCAAGATGTACTACAATTTCAGATACCATGGTATCAGCAGCGGTAGACCAATTAGCTCTGTTATCTCCAAAAATGGAAAACCCAAAGAATGGTTTATTACCAAGATTGGAGGAAATCGATGAAGTTAGTGCCAAGGTTGCTACTGCTGTCATTTTACAATCGTTGAAAGAAGGTACAGCAAGAGTTGAAAGTGAAGAAAAGCCCGATGGTGGATTTGTTGAAGTCCCTAAAGAGTTCAATAAGTGCTTAAAATGGGTTCAATCGCAAATGTGGAAACCGATTTATAGGCCATTAGTCAAGGTGAAGCACGTTCCAGAAGTTCATACGTACCAACACTAGATATTAAGTCTTTATTTTTCGAACTTCAATTTACTTCAGACTCTCACAATTTCTCTATAACTAATTACATTGTTACTGAAATTTTTTACTCATTTAGGTCAATCATAGAATATTTTCATTCCGTTTAATATAAATTAATTAATCAATCATTATAAAGAAACATTATCGTACTTTTGGCCAATTTTATATAGTTTCATTCAAAAATTTGACTATCCTTGTGATACCATAAAATTCCTTGTCGTCTATATGATTAGCGTCAAGAGAAGACTTTTTTGAATCACCTTCATGTTCTTTAATCTTCAGTATTAAGTGGTTTTCAAAAAATAAGCAGCTATCATGAAGACCCCAAGGCTCGATATAAAGCCTTAAATGACATAGTGTCGGATCTCTCTCTCTAATATACTCATAGCCCTCCTTGTCATATTGGTTATTAGAATTACCATATTTGTACTGGGTATTAAATGGAACATCAAGAGCGTATTGACACCAATCCAAAATACTATCTCTAAAACTTTCATCTTCACCAAAAATTACAAATACGTCAGATCTAGGGTCTTTCAAGGTTGGAATATTATTCCAATTTTCTGCTTTGGTTGGTTTGGCGCCTGGACAG